CGACGTAAAGAGTTGGTATTTGAATTTTGGTTTTGCCCAACAAAAACATTAACATTTTTTTTTGTTACGTTTATTAAAAAATCTCTAATGATGTTACTATTGTAAAGCTCTTGCCACAGAAACAAACATTTCTTTCCAATTTAGAATTTGAAATTTGTTTATAAACAATTTTGTGCAATTTTCGCTGAAAATCAATCAAAAATTGCATTAAATTTTTATTAAATTAAAATTTATACACCACTAGAAGTTCATGTTTATTAACAATTTTACATATTATGAAAAACGTATTGTTCCATGAGATAAAAAATTTTTACATACTAACATGTACATATACATTTTAATGAAATCTCATAAACCTATAATCCGTATCTTAAAAAAATATAAAAATTAAATTCCAAGATAAAAATAAGAGAAATCAATGACAATTTTTAAAACGACAAGAGTAATTATAATTCAACATTTTACCTACAAAATATCAAAATAGTAGTAATTACAAGTCATAAACATATTAAAACAATTTGTAATATTAATGAAAAAAAAAATTTCATATAGTGTTGGTAAAATAAATTATAGGTGTACAAAATTTAAAATCAATAGCAAAACATAACTAGTCTTTCAGATATTATTATATAGGAACGAACACATTGAATACACACTGAGAAAAATATTAACATAAAATTTAATCAAGCACAAATTAATATTATTCTAATTAGAATTTAAATTTATTCGAAAACAGTATTTGGAATTTAACTATTAGCCAACGAAAATTGAAATAATGCCGCTGTCTATAGGATTTAAATGGTCTAGACATGTAAAATGACAAAAAAAATTTAAATTTAATTTTTATATTCTTTGATTTTATGTTACAAATTTCAAAGATTTTAGGAAATTCGTAGACCCTATTAGAAACTTGAAATTTGAAATTTTAAAAATTTCATATTATAATAAGTTCGATATTAATTATTAAACTATTTAATGCAATCTCGATAGTTATTCTAAAAAGTATAACACTTTTTGTTAAGTCACTCATTTATGAAAAGCATCTGATCAAAATTTTGATCAGATTTAGAGTTTTCAAAACACTGATCTGATCTGATGAAAAATTCTGTAAGATTAAACTCTAGAAATCGTAATTCATTATTAAATTTTTTCAAAATTTGAAGTGTCATTTGAATATATAGTATATACAAACCGTGTGAAATCTGTGAGCAAACCCTGATTTAAAAAAAAAAACACGAATTTCCATCTTTAAATTGGATGAACTGCGGACATTCTCTTCCAAAAAGAATTATTATACATATTAACGTATTATTTGTAAAATAATAACTATATTTGTGTTATTAATTACATTATAATTTAAATTTAATATTTAAAATAAAATTATAAAATTCAAAATAGTATATTATTTATTTTGTTTCACTCTGTGTATATGCAAAAATAAAAAATTCATTGATTTATTTAAATATTTAGATATTGTATATATAAATGTACATTATACATATATATTATATATTGTTATATGCATGTAATAACATTTTTCAATATATAAATATATATAATATATATACATACATACGTATGCAGGTAAATGTATAAAACTAAAATGCAATTCAATACATTTTAAATTTCACGTTTTAGAATAAGAAGCAAAAAAGATAAAATAAAAAATTATCAACTCAAATATAATCAAGAAAAATAAAATTAAAGAAAACTTTCTATAATAATTTATATATAACAATTTATATGTATATATAACAATATAAAATGTGTATACGAAATAATACAAGATAAGATGACAAGATGATTCGGAATAATTTCAAAATAAATAAAATTAGTATATATGTATGTAGGAACATATAATATACTTATGCAAAACAAATGATTTATAACTGAAATACATAATAATTATAAATATAAATTAATATTTACAAAAATGAAAAAAAAAAATATTTAAAAACTTACATTTAATTTCTCTTCTCGTTGCTCCTTTATTTATTTAAATTCGTAATAAATAAATAACTGTTATAAAATGTCAATAATTTTATTTATATAAAAAAAATTCTATAAATGTCACAAATCATTTTTTTTATTATTTTTATTTTTTACAACAACAATTAAAATAGTGCTTATCAAAATAAGTATAACACTTTTTTTTTAATCTTTTATAATATGTTATACAATTGGTTTCAATATCATTATTATTATTATAAGAGTTGTTATTGCTTGTTATTGCTATTTAAATTTTATATTTATTATAAATCCAAGATAACAGTTATTATTAAAAGACAATTTCTGAGCATAATAAAAGAGAATATTATTTTATTTATTTAATATAAATTTCTCTCCAAATTAACCTAATAGCTCGTACAGAGTTTTATGATTATTTTAAAATATAAATTTTTTGATATTTCTATTTTTGATGTTTAGAAGTTGAGTAAAAAGAGTTCAATTCATATTGTACATATTTTTGTTGAATTTATTAAAAATGATAATATACCTATATGTATATAAATATATTATTTATACTATTCGAATTTAATGAATAAAATTTAAAAATAATATGTAATTAAAATTTTATAAAACTTCATTATACATCATAATTCATAATATACATATATTCTGATATATATATATATAGAATAATATTAATATGTGTATATAGATATATTTTCTCATATGAAAGCTACATACAGTATAAATTTATGTTCAAAAAAAAAAAAACTCAAAACTACTACATATACAAAATATAAAACTCTTTTTATACCCGTACGAACGTATGTTCGAATGGTATACCAAATTTGGATTACCATTTTTAACGTTAAGGAATAATATAGTCTGAGATATAGACATAAGTGTATGTTTTTGATTAGCTCCGAATTCTGAGTCAATTCGACTATGATTATTTAAATTGGATATGATCGAGACACTGGTTCGGGTAACTGCTATACAAATTCATAATTTATTAGACTATAATATTATTAGCTGCCATACAACTTCATAAATTTATTTGACTAAGAAATTATGGAAATTACGATGTTTGAAATTTCGCACAAACGAATATGTTATTAAGGCTAATGTGTTTGATAAAAGTCGTTGAAATTACTTAGCTATTTCTGGTAGCTGCCATACAACTTTAAAAATTATTTGACTCTATCTAAAAAAACTGTTCAACCTACAATACTGAAATTTTGCAAAAACAAATATGATAAAATGGCAGCTATATTCTTGCACAAGCAAATATGTATGTTTTTAAGGTAGTTATGTTTGTGGAAGTTCGATCTTCGAAATTTATCTACGAAGGCAGTTATGCTTGTGGCTATGTTTGTTTCGACTGCTTGTGGTAGCTGCCATACAACCTCATCAGTTTTTTGTTCATAACTCAGAAACTATTAAAGCTGAAATTTTGAACAAACAAATTTATACGGATTTACATGATAACTAACATATATGTATAAAATAGCACTACACATATTATTATAAGAGATTGTTTATGTTTAGACAACCATTTATTCATACGGATATCACAAAGTTGACACGATCAACTCTCTCTATTCTCATTTTATTTTTATTGTATTCCTGTTGCTTTTATTATTTTTTGTTCAGTATGTTTTTAAATACCTACATACATATACATAATGTATATAAAATTGTCCAGTTGGAAATTTTTTAATATAGGATCATGTAAAATCAAATAATATTTAAATAAAAAAGTATATAAGAAATTTAATAAAAAATAAAGAATATCAAAAGAATATTTAAAAATATTTTTACTTTAATTTTTAATTGATGAAATTTTGATTTATGTTTAATGTATCAACATATATATATATATATATAAATTAAAGTACCTGCATTATGCTCTCAAAAATATGAAAGAATTTCCTCTCAAAATTTTGTTTTGGTATATAATAAAAATAAAAATATATTCAAGTAAATTTTCACTTAATAATTTTAATAGCCATTTAAATTCTTGTTTTATTTCTTATGTATAATAATAATAAAAAAAAAAGAAAATGTCGAGTTTAATGTTGATTTGCAAGTTATACAGATAAAAGGCTTAGTAAAACAAAATTTGTTTCTTGTTAAACCTAACCTCAAATAAAATATATGTATATAAGTTTTAATATAATAAATTATTAAACAACTAATTTTTATATACAATTACATGGCATTTATACGCATATAATATGTCTGTATATATATGTATATATAGTATGTATGTACACTTAAAAAACACTCACGCATTTAATTTTTTCTTATTTCTCTTCTTTTATTTTTTATATTCATGTATACATACAATTTATGTAAGTTTGTAAAAATTTTCTTTTCTCATAAAATATATTTTTTATTTTTAAAAAATCACTTAATTTTATTTTAAAAATTCTTGTTAAATTTCTTAAATTATTAATTTTTAATTAAATGTTATTTAATTAATTATTTTGTTTTTGTAACTTTTTTTTTGGAAAATAATAAATATTTTTTAAAAATTTACAATTAAATTTTGCAGGTTATAAAAATGTAAGAATATACCTGATGTTTATTATACATGTATGTATGTATATTTATGTATTTATAATTTATACATACAACGAATAATGTTTAATTAATCTCTTGAATTAAAAATATACACTTAATTTTTATTTTCAATATTTTGTTTTAAATTTTCAATATAATATGCAAATATTTTTCAAAAAATCAAATTTTAAATTAAAAATTATATAAAAATTATTAATAATATTATAAAGTTATTCATTAAAACAAATTATATTTTATATATATTTTAAAAACACATAAATTTCATTTTATTTTTTACATACAGAAGTCATAAAAATCAGTACATTTTATATAGAGGTATGTAAGTAAAGTATACAAGTATAACCTTTATAACACGTTTTATAGTATAATATCCGTAAAAGAAAAAAAGAAAACAATAAAACACAAAAATTCGAAATAAGAATTTTTTTTTTTACATTTATACACAAGAAAACAAATTAAATTACAAAGAAAAGTAAAGTACTAAACACAGAAAAAAAATTAATTATTATTTTAAATTAAAATAATTTTGAAAAACAAAAAAAAAACTGAATTGAAGAATAAAATTTTTATTATTTTTTTAATATATATTTCTCTATATATATATATAAATTTGTATATATATTTATTATTTTCTTTCTCAGGTGTAATAAGACTTTTGTGATCCGTGTGTATTATTGATCGGAAAGGTAGTTAGACGATGACTGAATTAAAAAAATTTTTTATTAAAAATTTTATTAATACTCGCTTGCTCACAAATTTATAACTATTAAACCGTGTATATATACATATTTGTATTATACTCCGAATAAATAAGATATTTTATACTTTATATATTCCATATATATTCTATATTGTAGCTAAGTTATACGTTCCATATATCCATTTGATATTCAGATATTCAATATGCTGTTTTTTTTTTTTCACTTTTAGTTAAATAAAATTAAATACAATATTTTATTATAAATTTCCTTTTTTTTTTTTAAATTTCTCAAATACATTCATTCAATTTACAATTATTACAATAATATTTTGTATACACATATAAATTGAGACTGGTTGTATATTTTTAACAAAATAATAATATATCTCTGAAAAAATTTTTTTATTATATTATTTGGAGAAGAGAAATAAAATGAATTTTCAATTTATTCTATAAGTATATACAATTTAGTAGGCTCATTAAATATTAAACATATACACAGAAACATGTTTACTTGTGTATAATTAAGTCGAAAACAACAAAAATTGAAAAAAAAAAAAACAAAATCGAAATACCTGAATTTACCTGTATTTTTTTTTATCGCAATATAAAGCTTTTTATAAAGATATACATACATACATATATTGCCATATAGAGAGTACACTAATACAAAAATAAAAGCCGCACACACCATGTAAAATGATCTCAGTCGAACCGTATCAACAACCCATATTGAAGGAACGCAGAAGAAAAAAAAGAACATGATTATAAAATGGAAAAGAAAACAAAAAAATAGCTATAAAAATTGTACAGAATATTGTTCATTTTATGCAAGTATGAATGTATGTGTATATATGCGAAAAATACTACATATATAAAAGCAACAAGTCAACCATTTTTATTTTTGTTTTTCACTTTTTTTGTTTTTTTTTTGCTTTTAATAGTGTAATAAAATATAACAAAAAACGAATATGTATGAAATTTAAAATGTGAAAAAAGTGCTGAGTAAAGTAAAGTAAGAAAATATAATAACAATAAATAAAATAAAAGGTGAATTCAGGTGTGTTCTCTAATATCTGACAAATAAATTTGTATTCGATATAAGTAATAATGTTGTGTGTATTTCGAATAAAATTATATGGCTTTGATTTACTAATGATGTATTAGAATGTTCATTTTAATTTTATTTTATATATGTATGTATTGAATATATTGAAGGAAATTTCTCCGTATTTATAAAAAGAATATATATATATATATATTTGAGCCGTGTCTATAAACGCATAAAATATGAGAATTTTTAATTTCGAAAATTTCATAAATATAACTATATTCGATTCATAAATATAACTATAAATATATATATACCTACATAGTATTGGTATATTAACGTCTGTGCTGAGTTTTTATAATGATATTAAATTAATTTTTGTTATATACCTACAGAATATGATTTGGATAAAGACATTCAGACGGCGGGCCGTCAAATTTTAATGAGTCGCAAAAAAAAAATAATTTATTAAATTATATATATTAACGATATATGTACAATTAATTTTATTTTGTCTAAATAATTTTATGCAAAAAAAATATATAAGATTAATTTTGTGACAAACTGAAAAATAGTCAAAAACCCCGTAATCTCAAAATATTGTGAGCAGTGATCAGTAAAGTGATAAATGTTATGCTATGACATGTTCCCTAAAATAGTTGTAATATAAAATAATCTTAACATGTAAAAGTCTGAGGGAGCAAAAATTCAAATTTAAAACGGTCTTTACAAAGAGACTGTTCAGAGATTTATCCCGGGAGTTGACTTTATATTTTTTTCCTTATAAAAAAAGAATGTTATGTATATGAATTAATTTTTACTTTTGTATAACAGATTTTAAAACTACATTCTACACAAATTACTCAAAACTGCTCTTGAATGCAAAAAAAAAAACACTAACAAAGAACTCGTCTATTATACATTTTTCTGAGACAAAGGTTGTGCTATAGGGAGTTTAATGTTTTATGCATATAACAATTTGACAAAATATTATAATTTAAGCTTTTTCTTTTATATATGATAATGTGTTTTTATTTATAAACTTTTTGTTTATTATAAATTATTATAAATCTAACAAAAATGGATAGTTAAAAATTTTATTTTTCTATAACGGAGCGGTAATAAAAAAGGTTTAAAATATCTGCAATTATACACATGTTAAGAGGAAATTCTGAGATTTATTTAACCGCAAAGATATCAAATATAATATGCTTACGTATATAGATCAATAACATATGATACAGGAGAAATTTTTTTTTATTAAAAGGAAATTTTATTTTGAACAATTTATTGATGATTTATAATAAAAAAAATTTTGTTTGTAATAGGATATTTAAAAAAAAATCGATTTAAGTTTAAGACTTTAATATTAATATTATATTGATAGTTAATTTTATAATTATAAAATTGTCAATTAGAATTGAGAAAATTAAATATGACCGAAGGAAATTGTACAAAAATTTAAAATTAATTAAAAAAATTTATTATTTCATTATACAATATATCTATATATTCATGTTTTTATAACAATTTCTTTTGCCATATAATCTGTCAAATTGAGCGAAGAAATAGGAGTTGAAAATAACAACTTGCTTGGTCGTATTCAAACGTAGAAACATAAATTTATTTTAAAGAACAAAATGTGGAGTTATAATTTTAAATATTGGCGAGAATAAATAATTTAATAAAAAATAAGAGTAAAAAATTTTTTTCATTCTGAGTTTCCAAAAATTTTTATAAAATTATTTACAAATTTTCTCTACTGTTCATAATATTTACAAAAATCAAATTATAAAACCTTTCTCATAATTTTAGAAATACTTCTAATATTTTATGATATTTTATGAAATTATACCGTACTTCAAAATCAAGAATTCTAAATTGCTTTCAAAAATTTCCACCAGAGTTGCCACATTACAATTTCATATAATATTACAAAAAAATCCGTTTTACATCATAATTTTCACCAAACGACAATTAATATTATTAAATTCCCTTTCTTGTTTATTTCCCCTTAAAAAAAAAAATTCTAAAATATACCTTTTAAATAAATAAATTAAATATGTATATTTACACAAAATCATTTTGGTAATAATTTATAATAGAGTAATCAACCACCTGTCAAAACCTTTCACAATTTTGAAAGATAAAAATGTAAAATCATTCTAAATAAATATGTAGGGAACATACATATTTATTTCACTTAATATTTCCTCTTTACTCACTCTTCATTTGCATATACTGTCAAAGAAGGCAACACATTTAAAGATTTCAAATACATACAAAAATTTACAAAAAAAAAAACTAGTAAAACATGACAATATTATGTATAGGTAATAACAGTTATAACTACAATTAAAAATTGTAAAATTTCCTTTTTTTTTTATATACATTAACATTAACAGAGATAAAAAGAGCAAATATTTAAAACTCATCTTCGAAATCAAAGGTATTCGAAAATACTCTCCTAAACATGTATTACGAGTATAGAAAAAGGTGAAAAACAAATAAAAAATACTTCACTTACGTATGCGCATCAATATTGCGTGCTTGAAATTCTAATAAAATAACAATAAAATATAGAAACAAAATAAAACAAGTAAAAAAATGGTAAGTAAATTGAAACAGGTATTTTCTAAATGAATAAAGGTGGTAAAGTTTATAATGTATATTAGTTAAAAATCTCTTTAAAAAAAAAAAAGAGATATTAATATAAACGTGTTTATTGTTAATTTGAAATGAGTATAGTAAAAAAACAAAAAATATTTATAAACAAAAAGAAATTTTTGCAATAAGTAGTTTAAAACAAAATTGATATTACGCTCATAACACTTGGAGAAGGAAGAAAAATGGTGAAAATATTGATATTGTTGCTCATTGCATTATTTGTCTCCATACAAAATCTTAATCTTGCAGTGCATGAATTAAACGTCAAACGAATCAGAAAAAGTTTGATTTAAAAATATTTTCACGCAACATACACATGTTCAACCTGTTATTAATTCTTTATTAATCAATTGGTCAATTAAGCTACAATATGTTCAACAATATATTTACTATTTCGACGCAAGCGCGTTCAGAACCTTTTGTGAAGATTCAAAGGGTTAAATAATTTCTATTTAAAATGTTCTTTTAGACTCAATTTCGACAAATTATTGAATTTAGGTTTAAGGTCTATATTTAGTAAATAGAAAAGTTTTCCTGCCAATCGAACCGTATTTTTATATCAAAGGGTATTTGAATGTTGTTTCCACAATAATTTTAAAAATAAATTACGTAAACTAATTTAATTTATTTTTTTTTTTAATTTTATATAAAACAAATAATTTATACTAATTGTATTTTATGAAAATTATAATATATAATTATATTTAATTACTTTAAACCATATATATGTGTACGTGTATAAACATATGCATATATTTAAGTCAAAAGTTATTTTGACAGATGTTTATTTTACGCGTTAGCATTTAGGGGAGGCCGGCGGTTGATTTATTATATTAAGAATTTTACTTAAAATAATTTATTAAGAATTTTAGAATAATTATTAAAATTTGAATTTGAAAATATTTTTTCTAATCCAAATATTTGAAAAAAAATATTCGAAGCAATTTATTGGCGCAACAAAAATTCTTTCCATAAACACAAATCAATTCATACAAATGATTTGTGTTTATATAATAAAAATTTTTACGATAAAATAATTATTGTCATTCTATTGATTAGCTTGTCAAAATATGTAAATTCCAGTATTGCTAATTTTTGACTTACATATGTATGTTATAAAAGGGAAAGCAGCTATAATGTAATTTTAAAAAATTTACTTTTTTTTTTGTATTAATAATAATTAATTATGAAAAAATCGATATAGTATTCAAAAATTATTTTTTTTTTCTTATTTTAATATATA